TAGAGTGACACAGGAGAGAAGACGAGAGCGCCGAGTATTACCGATGCCAGAGATGGCGCCCAAGAGGTCCTTGTGCAGGCTGTTATCCAACGTGCTTCCCTTCTGCGGCGTCACCAGGGGGTTCACAGCGGGCAAGGCAAGAGATTCGTCCTTCCCAGTCTGTCACGGGGAGGAAGAGAAGAAACAATCAAAGATGATGAAAAAGACTCCTCAGTTCCTTCTGGATGTGCAAGGGCAGGTGCATGAACGAAACAGAATAGCCTGACACGCTTCACGGGCCAGAGTGGGAGAAGCAGCCGCACAGCGTGGGTGAGGGACGAGGTGGAGGACGGCCCAGAGGAGCAGCGGGGCACAGGATGCGCAAGAGGGGGGTGGGAGGGTGGCAGCGAAATCATGGTCCACGGAGTCACTGTCTCTCCTTCCCAGCACTTCTAGCACCTTTCCCCTTCTAGGAGAGCTCTGACACCCAGCCTTCCCTTAGATTATTTTGGTATTTTTTCCCGCAGAGAAAGCCTCCTCTGCTCTTTCTAACTGGAATGCTGTTTTTTTCCTCACATTGGAAACCTTTCCAAATGAGCAACAGAGCAGTACAACAGCAGCAATGGCAGTCTCTAGATGTTTGGAGCCTCACGAGAACTCTCAGTCAGTACAGGAATCGTTCATTTTGAAGTTCAGTCAAAAAAGGGATTTGACTTTGGTGAAAACCAAAGAAAGATCTTGTGTTTCTATTTCTCAGGATTGAAACAGTACAGGGAGGTCACGTTCTGCCCTGAATTACTCTGGTTAGAAAAGCAGACAGGGTTAGAGAATACACGTGTGAGATGCAATGTTGTACAGGGTGAGATCGGCGAGGGGCATTTAGGACGAAGAAAGCTTACACCCTTTTGAACAGCAGTGCGTGCACACACAAGCTATAACCATGGTCCATCTCCCTGTAAGCTGATTTAGGAATGTGTTAGGAGGTGAAGAGGTAGGTAGTGTAAAAAAATGGGACAAGGCATCACTGTGGTGGGGAAAAGGACAGAAACACACATGGAAACTCCCCAAGTATACACCGTAATGACCGAGTGGCAAGATTAACAACCAAGCCAGCTCCTGGGTCCAGAATAAAAAGGGAAGGAAAACTGCTGAACTGGGAATATCCATCCAAATTAATAGCAGACAAACCCTCTGAGGCCAAGAAAAGTGCTTGGAATGAGAAAGAATACAGGTTTTAGATTGCAAAATGTTTATAAACTTTAATAATTAAAATTATTACAGGTTAATATTTAAAAAGCTGTTTGTAACTGAAATGTGATAAGGAATTTGACAGTGATCATGCTTTGAAAAAGCTGAATTGTAAGATGATTCCAAGAATCCTTTTTAAATAACAAGAGAAATCAACATGTATCAAAGACTGAGTAAAAGATCAAACAATCTCCAGCCAAAAAGTTACGTTATAATTTCTGGGGTCATCCTCCAGTCAACTTAGTTTCCACACATCTTTAAAAAGCTGCACAAAGACAATACAGATGCAGGCGGTCAGTTCTTGGAGGTGGGGCTTCCTGTCCCTCACCTTGGCACCCCTGACATCCAGCCTCACTTTCTGATTGCACAGTCAGAGAGAAACTGTAGCCCAGAGGCAGCTTTTCCGAGACTGCGTAGCACATTACCACCAGGGGCTACCATGAGTTCTTACAGGACACCGGTTAGGACTACACCATGTTTTCTGTCCCTCCCTCCTAAAGAATTTATGCTGAATACACAAATGAAAGTTCTGAGGCCTTACAGGACATTGGACCATCAGGAAAGCAGAGTTTTCATACTGATTTTTAATAAGAGTTGAAGGTTTACTGAGTGACCCCATCTGAGCCAGAAAAGCAATTCACCAGGAAGACTGTGGACTACTACAGTTTTATTGGCAAAATAAAGGGTGGGGGTGTGTACTGACTTAAGCGGTGTCCCCCCAAAACTCAAGTCTACCTGGAACCTCAGGATGTAACCTCATTTGAAAATAGGGTCTTTCCAGATGTGATTATGACACAATTTAAGACGAGGTCATCCTGGGTGGGCCCTAAATCACCGGTGTCCTTACAAGAAGAGGAGAAGGCACGCAGAGACACAGACACGCCCTGGAGAGAACACCACGTGAAGACAGAGGCAGAGACTGCAGGGAAGCAGCTACAAGCCAGAGAGCACCGAGCATGGCAGCAACACCAGCAGCTGGGGGAGCAGCATGAACAGACCCTTCCCCCAGAGCCTCCAGGAGGAACAAACTCTACCGACACCTTGACACTGGACTTCCAGCCTCCCGACTGTGAGAGAACAGATTTCTGCTGCTCTCAGCCCCCAGTTTGTGATACTTTGTTCTGACAGCCCCAGGACCCGACACCGGCTGTAACTGTGTGACCACGCTTACATACACTGCCAGGGTTCACGGGGAAGGGCGACACCTCCCTCACGTTGATCCGCTGGACGTTTTCAATCAGCAGACCAAACAGAGGCAGGTAGAGAGTGGCTATCCTTGCCTGATGACTCTGAAAGGAAGACACAGGGGGTCAGTGTGCTCCGTGGTTCAGAGAGCTGCTAAATGACAGACTAAGTTGGCACTGGCCATCTTCCTTTATTTGCAGGCTTCCTACAAAGACAGATATTTGATGTTATTCTCAAAACAGAAAAAAGTCTTAGGGCTGTTACCCTGAATTTTCTAGGTGGTTACTTTCTTCACATTACCTAAAATAAAGGACTTTGTCAATGCCTACTTCCTTTCGCTGGGGACCACTCACCCTCGAAGCGTATCTGTCATCAAAAGAATGCTTTATCAGCAGGTTCTTGAGCACGCTGATGGCGATCAGACGGACCTCCCGGAACTCCTGGAGGGCTGTCCCCACCTCTCGCAGTAACAGTCCCACCAAGAAGTGGTTTCTGCAGAACTCATCCGTTAATGAGTAGTCAAGCTGCAGGTCTGCAATGAGGATAGAAACAACTTTATTTAGGGAGGATGCAACACCCTTTGAATAACATGAAAACTAAAACCATCCTCTGCATTCAGCCCATCCTGTGTGTGTCAACAGATGATGAGACTTCAAAGGGGAAAGGGCTGATGCTAAAATGTTGCTCTATTTCTTAACACATGGACCTCTTAAATGACAACAAAATTTAAACACAAATAATTACACCAGATTTTGATTTTGGGAACATATTGCATCCTGCATAATTAAATCAGTGAATAGTTTAAGTACCAATTTTTAGAATAGAGAACAGCATATGTTACATTACAAATATAAGTTTGTTATTGACAAAGTAAAAAAATAAAGTTATTATATTCATTAATAGAACTATATAAGAGTAATTTATGCATAACAAACATGTAATTAAATAAAGAATAAATATACATGGTTTATTAAAATGTTCCTTACTACCTAGGTTCATGTACACATTTCCTGGTCACCAATGCCAGGAAACTCCCACTAAAACCCAATGTGTTTAAAATAAACAAATTAACATATAACCTATCTATTCTGCTATCCCTGAGTGAAAAACTTATTCAACACAGTATTTCCTAAAATATTCTCTTAATATTTCTGCACCTCTAAAAACAAATAAAAAATTAATATAAACTAAAACTAAGATGGACAAAGCACCAAACTCAACTAGCAAATCATCAATAAGCTAAATGACAAAATCAAAAGCTCTTCTGGAAAAGAGATAGAAGCAAACATGGCCTCTTCTGAGGGTAAATAACAGCCGCTAAACATCAGTCTAAAGCTGAAATACACATTCCCAGGAAGCTGAAGCTAGATTTGAACTGTTAGACCGACTTCACTGTTACGGAAAGTCTATAGACCTCTCCTGTGACTTTAATCCCATATCAACTAGTTACATCTGAATCCACCCAAAACACTGACCCAAGTCCTATGAAACCCTTTAGTAGAAGGAAGGGGAAGAGTGAATATTTTTCTAGAATAATTATGTTCACTGTTTATGATCATTAAACCCAGTTTATCCAAACTATAGTTCACAGCTTAAATTCACATAAATCTCTCAGGAGAAAACTACTTTAACTGTGTGTGTGTGTGTGTGTGTGTGTGTGTGTGTGTGTGTATGTAAGCGCATATGCATGCATGCATGTGTGCTTGAGAAAGAAGGCAGAGGCAGGGGTGGGGGACAAGGCATAGGGAGAGAGGAAGGAGAATGCTAAAAAAGACCTACTTCTCTCACTGTACTAAGGCTGATTATGACCCACACACACCTGCCCAGGGCAGCCCCTCTTGCTCCCAGATCCCCTGAAGTCTCCTGAGAGCATGTGTGGGCCTGCTGGGCACCTGCAGCATTTCCATTCCACTCAGTTCTACAGGATGAACAATTAGGCCTGGCTGGGTCACAGGCAAGAAGGGCATTAGCACACACTGACCATGCAACCCTGCAAATAAAAGGCTGCCCTCAGCTCCTGATCAGGTGAAAGGAAGAGTCACACTCCCCAAGTACAGGTGACTGTGAGGTAGAGGGGAGGGAACTGATGGGGTTTGAAGTACAGGGCAGGGAGGGCAATTAATTCCAACTGGGGAGCTGGACGAGGGTCAGGAGACCCAGGAGTTCCCACGTAGGAGGTGCAGAGTGCCAGGGCTACGAAGGAAGATGAAGGTTCTCCAGGGAGGGGGCTATTTGAGGTGGAGGGGTGTCCGGGGTGGGCAGGCCATGTTTGAGGAGCTGGGAGTAAGCATGCACGTCTGCAATGCGGGGAACAGGTGGCCAGGGTTAGATCTGTCCCCTCGGCCCAGAAAGCTCCCCAAGATGTGCATGCACTCAGCACATTCACTCCCTTCCACTGTTACCTGGCCACCCTGTCTCAAACGGCACCCCTTCTCACATCCCCCTTCCTTACTTTATTTTATCTCCTTAGCATTTATCAGTCTCTAACATTCTATGCATTTCACTTATGTAGAATAGCCAAGGATTTTCATCCAGGTTGTCCACAACTGTAACCTGAAGCTAGACATAGCTGGTTCTGGGTAAATATTTGTTGAATGCATGAATACCAACTCCAGGGCTACCATCTTCCTTGCTCCTTAAAAGGTACTGTAAGTCTGTTTTGGTGGAAGCTATGAGTGTCTGAATGACTGCACTGCGTGTTTCTCTCTGAATGTCAGAGGTGGTTGATTCAGGTGTCATTAATAGTTTGGTGGCATCCTTGCTCTTGTTCTCTCCTTTAGCACAAATAAACCTGAGCACATTCAAGGCACTAAACTCAATAAACATTACTTGACAGACCTGACAGAGTAATTTGTTTAATCTGATTTACTCGGTGAAGAAAGAAATCTATGAGTTCAACTCTCTTCAAAATTAAAGAGAATACAGACCATTAATAAAGACTCAACGTGCAAACATAAAAAGCATGTGAAAAAGCCATGTTGCTTGTGATTTAGGTTACTGCTACCACTATGGACAATGGCTATGAAAATGACAGAACAATGCATTTTTCCGGAAGAAGCAGGGCTTTTTGTTTGTTTCCGTTCTTAAAGAAACATGCTAGAGTACTCAGTGACTTCAGGAGCACAAAACCAGATGCCTCCCTGGGATGTCACGGCAATGTTTTGGCTACAGTAAAAACAAATTCACTGCTTTATTATGAGTTTAAAAATTGATCAAAGTATATAGGAAACGCCTAACTGAATAGCATATGGAAGCATCTCAGCAATAACTTGCATTCTTTTTCTTCTAAAGGAGGAAAATGCAAGAAAGCAAGCACCACACCCACACCTACCTACAGGAGTGTCATGTGACTCCACAGTTGGTGAAAGAAAAGCTAATTCGTAAGAAAAAAGGAAAAGTGAAATAAAAATAAGCTACAGTAAGTAAGATGGACTTCTATTGTTTAAACAAAGACTTTTTCAATGAAAACAGAGTCACAATGGCATGATCTGTAGTATGATAAAAATTTGCTGAAAAGTAAGTTACCCTATAACATTTTGTCAGTACTTTCTAAAATGGAAATTACCAAGAAAAAAATTCACCAATGGAAAAAAATAAGGAAATGCTAATATCAATTATCTTTTCTTATTAAAAATAAATGGCTCTCTCTGTGAAAAGATTAACATACATAAAGACGGATTACCTTGGTATCTTTGAATCCTGCCTTTTCCAAATGGCATTGGTAAATTCAAAGGAATATAATGTTCGTGATTACACACCACACGGAGAAATTCGAACTTGTATTCAAAGAGGGTCTGCAGGAAAACATGTTTAGTCATAAATTAAATGCATCACTGGGTATTTTATACGGGACCCTAAAAAACCCCTTAGAAATAACACACCTAGTCATTAGCTTCTTGGCCCTCTTGGAACTGCACTCTGTTGCATTTTACAGATTTTAGAATGGCTTCAGGGATTTGAAAACGGAGAACACATTTCATTAAACGGTGTCCTCAACTGACTTTTAGGGCATTTATTATTTATGCTCCTCCTACTTCAATACAGGATTTCAGGCAGCTTATCATTATAGACACATTCAAAACCATAAAAAAATTAGTAAGGCAGAGCTTTAAAAAAAACAAGGGAAAAAGATAATTCTACCAGAGAAAGGCTAGATGGTTACTTCTGTTGTCTTAAGAAAACTATGGATTGCAACACATATAGTTTTGTGGTTGAGAAGTCATTGCAGGTGTTTAAGAGAAAATCAATGGGTATGTTTATTTCTCATTGTGTTTTACCGTGTCCCTAATATCTCTTGCATATCAAGCAAGTAAGTACGAGTGTTTCCAAGAGAGGAGTGAGTTGTGCCTCGGGGACAGAAAGGAAAGTCTGATGAGAACTGAGAGAAACAGGTAGATTTCCAGATGTGTATCAGTGAGGTAAAAGGAACAGAATGCAACACCCACACTACCTTTGGGTCTCCAGGAGCAAAGCAGCTAATGTAGTTGTTGATCTGTTTAAAGACAAAGCCCCTGTCCATGAAGGTGAAACATCTCTGTAGGGAAAAACAACCCACAAAGGTCAGTATTTCAGGCCCAAACGTTTTGGAAGCTTGGATTCAAATCAGCATTTATTGTTAATAAGTTTATCCTTTAGCATAAAAACACGCCATCAACGTTGTCGGAGTGCTACTCCATTCTAGCCGCTGTGCTAGACAGCTGCTTAAAATGAACATCTGAGTCACATAACTGACACCCTCCTCCCTAGAGGTCCCCACCTTGATGAAGACAGCAAGGCTATGATTTGCGTTCTTAGAAGCCTCTGGGTTATCTCGAAACTTCTGAGTGATGTGTGGCATCAGCATATTCACAACGGTTTCCACTGCATGATGATAGGATGCAGGAAACCTCTGGTTTCGCAGTAACTAAAAAGAATGCAAAGCAAATATTTATTATTTTTGAAGTTGCAACCCTTTGGGGAAGAAAATCCCAACCCTGAGTCCAGTTTTAAAAACCCAGAGTACTAATCTTATTTCTCTGAAATTAGAAAAAATGAATTACTCTTCCTTCTCTCAAAGTACTGTACAAGTATTCAAATACTTCAAGTAAGTGCTGCAGATTAAAACCAGAATCTCAAACTTCAGCGTGATAAAGATCGCCTTGGAGGTGATCTTTAAAATTGGGGAGAGTCAGTCTCTACTCCCAGAGATCCTGGTTCAGGAGACCAGCAGGAGGTGCAGGGAGAAGGGGCAGGAACCTGCATTTTCACTGAGCACCTTTGATGATTTTGGTGCCTGTATCTCTCAGAGAGCTCTTCAGAAAGCACAGGCTTAGGTCTGAAGCTTCAAGTATTCAAACTGCAAATGCACAGATTGGTGATTGTACATAACCACTAAACTGCTTGGCAGCAGTCCTCTTCAAGTTAGCTTTACATAATAATCTTTCCCCATCAGGAAGCTAAAAATTTATACCCAGACTGCTTAGCAATTAGCTAACACTTATGTGTATGTTCTACACGGCAGGCACTGCACTACATATTTTTATGTACTTTTTCTTCAATTCTTATAAGATTCCTATTTAATGCTCATTTTATAAAGGGTCAGAGAGTTTAGGCAAATGTGTCCTCAGTCCACACAACTAACAAGGATTCAGGCCCAGGTCTACCACAGATCCAAAGCCTGTGCTCTTTCTGCTACGTAAGGCAGCACTGCCCCCTTCCTACCAAAACTAGAAGAATGGACCGAGAGCGTGACATAGGAAGGGTGCTGAAGTAGATGTTCCATTACATTGATCCATCCATACATTTAATTCTAACAGCCACAAGAGTAGGGTATTTTCATCCCCATTTTACACGTGAGGAAACTGAGGCTTAGAGAATTCAGTAAAAACTACTAAATGACCTTAATAACCCTCCATTTCTTCCCCTTTTTACTAATAGAACCCATGGTTTTACAGGACATGTGGCTGCCCAGCTAGAGACTATATTTCCCATCCTGACTTGCAGCTAAATATGGGCCACATGACCAAGTGATGGCCAATGGGCTGTAAGAGGAGGTGACATGCACCTTGTCCAGGTCATGCCCCTAAAAGGAGCTGCTGGCCTTCCCTGTTTCCTCCATACCACTGCCTAGAGGGTGTTGTGGTGTTGAGCTCCATTCTCCACCATGTGGATGAAGGTAACACTGAGGGTAACTGACAGAAGGAGACTGAGGCACTAAAATGACTGTGGGGAACGAGCTGCCCCACTCTCCAAACTGTCGACCAGCTCATGATTTTCCACAAGAGAGAAATGAACCTTCTCTCTTATTTAAGCCACTATTACACTGGCCTGTTTTAGAGTAGCCAAACTAATATCCCAATATCAAACAAATAGTATTTTGTAAAACTGGGAACCAGAACCTAGGTATTTCTGACATAACAACATGCATTACTTTATGCATTAAATACCAGAACCTATTAGGAATATTTGATCAGCTTTATAACAATTTCAGTTCTCAAACCAGTAATAAGAAAATCTTTGTAAACTTATATAGACTCAAGAATCCAGTGACAGAAGAATCAAGTAATAAGAATGTAAAGTTTCCTGGCTTTAAGAAACAGAACAGCAAATTCTGAAATTCCAAAGGGATTTTGTTCCATATGTGCAACCAGTAGCTCTGTATCCTGAGGTAACAGCATCAACAGACGATCTACGACCCCAGGCAAGGCCCAACTCTAACCAGCAGGCATGACTGCTGGCTACCCAAGCTGCCACTCCTGAAAGAGAGGTACTCCAAGAAATGCCTGTGGCCTTCAGCCTGGGGCTGAGTCAATGGCTGTTAAAACCATGAAAAGTGGATGGAGAACTATATCATAGATGAACTGGAGGACACCACATCAACCTATTAGTCAGTATTATCATAACTAAGACCGGGACAAGTGGACACACATACCTTATGATACGATGCAGTAGTACCAGCTATGAAGTAGCCTTGCTGGAAAGAAGACCAAACCTGAAGCAAACTGAGCCTCTAAATACGACTACAAGTTTAAAGGAAATGCAGGGGATAGAGAACCGCGTCATGTAACATTGTGAGGTTACAATCGGCTAAATCTAGAAAGTGGGAAATTCTGCAGGACAAATGACCCATGTTCTTCAACAAATACATTGAATTAAAAAACAAACAAATGGAAAGGGAACAGTTTGAGAATCAAAAACTTCAGAAGCACATCAACTAAATGCAATGTGTGGACTTTATTTAGAGCCTGAGTCAGATATACCAACTGTAAAATGACATTTTTGAGACACCTGGGGAAAAATGAATACAGATTGGGTGTCGGGTGATAATAAAGACATACTGCTAATTTTGTTTGGTGAGATAATAGTATAGTGGTTATGTCTATTTTAAAGGCTTATCTGTTAGAGATGACATGCTTAAGTTTTTACAGATGAAATGATAAAATATTTGGTAACAGCTTTTAAAATACTGGAGGAAAAAAGTGTGAGGATGGGTATATATATATATATATATATATATTATATATATATATAAAGCAAGTATGGTAGAACGTTGATAACTCGAAGCTGGGTGATGGGGACGTGAGATTTGGTACACTATAGCTTCTACTTCTGTATTTATTAGAAAATATATACCAGCCCATCATTAATGCCCTTCAGTGACAAGGAAATGACAACTCATGGCTCTGAAGGCTGAAATGGAGCTCTCCCTACAGTGAAAAATAGCTATGGTGAAATGTACTAATTTGGCAATAAAACCAACTAAAGATTTTTTATGAGGTAAGGCACACATCTAAAGCTAATAAAGACCTAGGTAATTAGATGCTTTTATGGGGATTACTATAAAGCAGAATGGAAGGAACGAAATCTAGGACAATGCCCAGGTGGTGAGTATGGAAGCGGTGGCTTGGAGGAGAGGCCACTGAGCTGCTGAGAGACTCCTCAGCCAAACAGAACCCCAACTCCCTGCCATGCCCTGCTGGAGGGTCTTTTGCCAGTGCTGCTGCAGCGTCCCCACTGGCCTGGCCACCACCTAAGAAATGCTGCCCAGCACCTGTCCTCCCAAGATCAACCTCCTCCAGCCCACCTGCTGGGCAGCTGCCCCACCCTGCTGTGAGCTGACAGCCATGTGCTGCTCAATGCCCACCACATGTCTCCTCGACAGAGCAGGCTCTCCCTGCAGACCTACACCCAGCCCTGCTGTGGAGGCCCCTGTGGGCACTGCTGTTAGCAGCCAGGTCCTTGAAGACACCCAGTGACGGGTCACCCCATGCCTTCCAGGTCGTTTGTGCTCCCACACCTCATGCTGCCCAAATCATGGCTTGACAGATAAGGACTTCAGAACGGTCTTTGAATGTCCCCTTCTTTGATCCTTCCTGAGTCCTTCCACTCTCTGATGGAGTTTAGATGCCTCTTTTCTATGGCCTATTTGACTGTCCTCTGAGATATAATAAATAAGACTTTGAACTAAGAAGCTTCATTTTTCTGGCTTAGCAAACAAAAGTAATGGGGCTGAGCAGAAATTTGCTAACGACATTTCCCAGCATTCTGAGATTACCCCCAACTTGGCGGAAGCCCCGTGTTACTTCCTCTCTCTTCTACTTTTTTCTACAACCTTTCTTCCCCCACCTTGTCATCTTCATTCACCAGAATCAGTCTTCTCTCTGTACTGTCCACGTTTATTCTACTCTCTACCCTGCTGGTGCCATGAGTGGCACCTCAGATCTCCTGCTGCGGGGGACATAACCAGCCCATGGCCCTGCTACCGTTCCCTGAAATCTACTGCTGCATTAGCACCACGGCCCCATGCTTGGCACAGCTGCTCCCATCTGATGACTGAGCGGGGCAGGAATGCTGTGCGGGCCTGTTGCTGGGGGATATGGGACTGCTCTGACCACCGACTTTGGTTTGAGGGCTTTCCAGGGCCTTGCTCACCTCTCCCAGAACCGCACCGCAGGCTGAGACTTCCTTCTCTTAACCTCACATCAGACCTGCACTGTCCTCTGATGGCTCTCCCGCCCACACTAGACTGACACCACCCTTTTCCCCAGAGAAAAGCTTAGGCTCATGGTTTCAGCAGACTGGTGCTCACAATCTATTTCGTTAGCTCTGTCTGTTCTCTTCCTTTTCCCAGCCTGCATCTCCACCTGCCAACTGGAAATGTTTGCTGTGCCACAGCTCCTCGTGGAACCATGGCTGGTTGCCTCCCAATATCTGTTCTCCATCCTCTCTTGTGGTACACTAAAACCTCAACTTTTACCTGGGCTCGCAGATACCCACAATAAAGACTACACATACCACCTGTCCTTGGAGCTGGATGAGGCCATGTGACTAAATCTGGCTAATGGGGTGGTAGCGGTAGTGATTTGTGCAACTTCTGGGTCACATCCTTAAAGGGAAAAGGTGCGTGTTCCTCTTCGTACTGGCTACAGCGTGGGTGTGATGGTGAATCCCGTCAGTTCAAGAGGAGAAGCAGAACTCCCAGAGAAAAAGCAACAGGACAGAAGGAGTCTAAGCCTCTAACTTTGTGGAACGGAATCCCCTATGAGCTTGGATTTTCACATGAGAAGAAATTTGCCTTTTTTTCTTAAGTCCCTGTTATTTTAGGTCCCTGTCACAGCTGCTGAACTCAGGCCCTAAAGCTTAAGCTACCCCAAGCACAACTCATCACCTTCCATCTTCCCTGGTAAACCAAGTCCTCTGCTCTACTGCCTCTCTCCAGAGCTCCTCCTCCTCCCATCTCCACTGGATACCTAGCCGGCCTTTCCTCCAACTCAAATCTGACTTTACTGTGTTCTAAGTCAGGTTTATTGAGGTATAATTTACAAACTATAAAATTCAGACTCTTAAAGTGTACAGTGTGGCAAGTCTTGACAAGTGAATACAGTTATGTAACCACCACCACGATCAGGAAGACACAGACATCAC